GAAGAAATTACTAAATTTACAAAGGATGATGTCGAAGATGGTGTTCAAAATATCTCTCCAAAACCATCTAAACCAAACAAAGCAAATGATGAAGAATTAGAAAAACCCAAAAAATCGAGGTCTTCAAGAAAAAGGAAACATAAATCATCAGTTCGAAATGTTAGATTAGAAGAATCCAATCTAAAATCTAAAAGGAGTAGAAAAATGGCATCTTCAAAAGGAATTTCTGAAAATAAATCTGAAAAAACTCTTCCAATTCATCCAAAATTGAATTTAATACCTGAAAGCCAAGCAAATTCATTATCAAAAACTATTCCAGTACCCACACATCAAGAGGTATGATGCATCATCCATACCTAAAGAGGTGGAAAGTAACACTTTGTATTGCTTACAAATTAATTGGTAAAATAATTTTCTTGCAGTTTTATTCAATTCTGAGATTAGCCGTTAACAGTTTTAAGGAGTTTGGAAGTATTTATATTGACGAAAATAGAATTTGTTAGTATAATATACGTTAAAATTAGAATATTTTAAGGCATGAAGCGAATGTAAGTAAAATTTTTTTGTTATTTTTCACAGCTTCATCTTGCTATCTTGCCTACACCATCATCAATTGGTTACTTTGGTCCGTGCTCTTACTAATGAGTTTGCTAGTTATTGGTGCCTTGATAAAGGTAAAAATTACTTATTTGCAATCATTAATCTTGTACTTTTAAATATATATTTATTGTTTTCTAAAAAATATCATTAAAGCTGCCATAGTCATTAACACGAAGTATATATTTCCATAGAAAATTCGTAAACTACTAATCCCATTTTTGATATGGATGGGTGTCGTGATTATCGGAGTACCAGCTGCAGAAGTTTGTGTGTTGATTGCCATAAAAAATATATCTGTAAGTGTATATGAATACGTTACACGTTTAATCATTGGCTATTGATATGATGAATAGCCCAACAATGGTTCTACTATACTACTTGAGGCATGCTTCAGTTGCAATTCCTAGCATTGTAACATATCTAGTTTGAGGGAAACAAAAAAAATTCCTATTTTTCTACTTTTTAGGAATTCTTTTTGATAATTTTATCACTATAATCATTGATGACCATAGATGCAAACCTGAGAGCCATAAATTACTCTTTCGACAATGAAAAACTTAAATATTCTTATAAAATTTAGTTATTTTAACACTTTATCTTCGTATTTTAACATTGAAAACCCTAATAAAGTATTTAATACTGAAAATTCGGCATAATTTATGGCTTCAGAGCTTTACATTTGTTCCTCCAGTTGAACAACATGAGGAAAATCTGAGGTAGTACCTCGTACTTGAGTTTATTGATTATTTTCTAAGTTTTAATATTAAATATTTACTTAATATATTGCAGGTAGCAATTAGTCTTACTCTACTTACACTCATNATGCTTAAAATTTATCAGAACAATTGCTGCTTCATCTAATGACACTGCTTAAAAGAATCTAAACCGACCTGGAATCAATCTCTGAAATCTAGAAGCCATTGCAGTTCCCATTTCAAAACCTGAAAAGACCTCAGAAATTCCTATAATTATAGACTATATTCTCTGTAAGATCTTAGAACGAATGGTAAACATTTAACGTAACTTCTAGAGATAAACGATTATCCGTCTCTCTTCCAAACCGAATTTTGGACAAACAGATGCACTACAGAGTAGTATACCTGGATACCCGAAGTTTGTAAGAAGTCAACACCTGTTGTCTGTTTTCTACAGGTACGTTGATAACTTTCAGATTTCTGTAGAGCCAATAATATGAGACTCATACACGGCACTGAATCTCATTTAATCAGCATACTTTTAGCTTTATTGCTGAGAACACTACGTGCCGCAAGTTTTGTCAGACATATGGTTGCATACATAATCGAACATTTGTGATGCAGACTGTATTTATAAGCAGCAAATTGATATATTATTGTGAGGGATTTTTGAAATATTTACAGATGGATGTCAATCTGAAAACCGTTTTGGATAAGAAAGAGTCTGGCTTTCAATTTTACTGCACAGTTACATGCTGTGTATTTAGCTTTAAATCATTTATGGAAGCCTTTATTTATTTATTGCGGCGTTATTTATTCCGGTTAACAAAGGTTTGTGAACCAGCAGTGTACTCATTATCTCGTTTTATTTTTGCCATAATTCACGAAATCACTTCTGAACTGTCAACAATAATTTCATTTTAAACTTTTGTTGGATCCCAGGCCATGTTGGCATATGAGGAAATAAATAAGCAGATACCGCTGCTAGATCAGGTTTTCCTCCTGGGCATTTAATGCGTATTTATACTACTTTTTTAAGTACAGATTTTAAGCAAGATGCGTGCAATGAAGTCCACAATAATCCAGTCATAGAAAATTAGACAATAGATTAATAATATGATGGATTTTGTTATTTTTACTCGTTTGAGAATTGGTATTGGTGAGTGAGTGTGCCCGTCTGAAGTGTTGGGGAATAGGCCAAACTTTTTTGTGGTTCTGGACATTTCCAAAGAAACTTGGGATGTTTAATCCAGTTGTATTATGCTTCTGATATGTATTGTTTTTGTACCTTGTCAATACTTGCTATTATTTGTTAAACTTTTGTCGTCGTTGTTTCCGTTTATATCTTGATGTTATAATAAAACATTGATAAAAAAACATTGTAGAATTATTATGTGATAGCACAGTAAAACAATGGTTTTGTGCCACAAAAATCCAACTGATAAGACTGTATTTTAAATATATCGTTTGAGCAAATCTCTCTAAATGTAGCAGGCTCATGGCTTACATATTTAACTTCGAACTTCTTAAGGGAAATTTCAAGAAGGGATTGGACACGACTGGTCAGAGACTAAGTCGAGTTCAATTTCCAGTTTGTGATTCTTTCGCCTACTGGAAGATGAAGACCTAACTACATCACTAAATACAGTCAAATTTATAACTTGTTACACAAATTTACTATTAGAAAAACAAATAACTGCAAAAATAGTACTTTTTAACAAATCGAAAATCACCATTCATGTCAATTCAAAAAAACAAAATTTATTCGTTACTTTATTAGTTTAATACATTTTTATTGTTTTGGAGCCTAATCAGCATAAAAAGCTTAACAATATTTTAAAACAAAAATCTCATCCTACTAGTCTATTATAAAAAAATTTTCATTAACTGCACTAATTTTGTGAAATTCATGCTTGTCCTTGAGCTCCACCCTCCTCACGCACAACATTAATTCTATGATGAGGAAATTCATAGTCATCTGGATATACTGAATATTCAAACAGCCTAGAAAACAAAGACAGAACTAACTACAAGGAAGTAAGAATTATAAATTTTATCGAAGAATCATTTCAAAAACTTACCTGCTTACGGAGATAATAGTTAAATCTTCCGCATTACGTAGAGAAATGTTACCTTCGTTGACCTGTATGTTCATATGTTCTTCGATTAAGGCCATATCTTGATGAAGATATTCAGGAAATTCGTGTTCGTCTTCGATTTTAACGTCTGCAGAATGGAGATTTATCAATTTAGTCGAAAATAAGTAGTAAGAAAACAAAAATTTACTCGGAAGATTTTACCATCTTTCAATGCCAACTTGATTTTTAAAAGTTTAAACTGATCCATACTGATGTTGGCATCTCTGAAATCTACCACAAGATTGAGAATTAAGCATCCTACGATTCGTAGAGGCGGCATATCGCACATATAGGGATCGTAGAAACATTTATGGAGCCATAAAACATCGTGAGCAAACATTGATCTTTCCATCATCTGCAGCGCCGTTCCTCTTAAGTAACTTCATGTTTTAAGAGTATCTGAAAATAAGAATGTTATTTCAAATAGAGATATTAGAAAATTATAAAAGCGATACTTACTTTGTCATCTACAGATAGTCTTTGATATTCTCTCGAAATATTTCGCCATTGATAGTAATGCTGCTCCATGTAAATGAGACAATCTAGGAATTGAGTGTTCTCCCAGTTAAGCCGAAATGGTTGAGGTATCTGTGGAATAAAAAAAAGTGGAGGTTTAATATGTGGGAGAAAGACAAAAAAAGTTAAACTTAAAAAATTAAGATAAATCAATAATACAGGAGGTGGAGGAGGGGACATTTTTCTCCTTCTGAATTCATAATGATCAGCATCCACTGTAAAATTTAATTTTTAAGTTAACAAGATGCAATTCGTGTTTTTAAAATATGATACCTTTTATAATTATTTCATTAAAAACTAGAATGGGAAGTTAATTTGCATATCTGGTCGTTCACATGGATTATTAATGAAAATTTTAAGTTTCTCACGAGAGACTTTTGAAGAATTCATCCCAACACAGTAGCATTTACTCATTTTACAAAAGGGACAGATATTACCGCTGGCTACAGTCACATCACAACTTCCTAAGAATTGACAGTTCAGAACTCTTGAACCTCTGACTACTGTTTCAAAAAATTCGTTGCACGCCGGGCATACATCACAATCGAATTTATCTTCTAGATCGGTGCAATCGGCGCATACTGGACAACGTTCACCGTATTTCTGTGCTCCTCCCTCTGGAACTTTATATTAAATTTTATAAGTGAATTCTTCTAATTATTTGAATCTTTGCCATTCTTACTCTTACCTGGCTTAAAGAATTCTTCTTCTTCCGGTGGTGGTGGATAGGCTTCTGCCATTTACTAAATTAATATTTAAACTAAACAAACTGTAAAATATTATGGGTATTAAAGTACTATTGTAGTATACACACTATTCGTACCTTCAAACAATTCAGTTTCCACAACAATTACTGATGTCTGATGCTGAAAACTGCTTTAAATATCTCTTACGTAAATTGCTTTTCATAAAGTACGTTTTAAAATGCTATCATTTACACATTTTTACACAAATTCTATATAAAATAAGTTAATATTTACGGTTTTATACTTTAAACATTAATATAATCATCTAATTTGCATAAATGTAGAGCATTTGCCGTATTGCTGCTCTTTGAAATATAATTTTGTCTTAATTTTTAAAGTAAATTATTATTATTTATGTTTAATTGGGGTCGTTATTTATTTATATATTGATTTTTAAAAAATACATAATAATTATGAATACTACTTTTATTTTTCGAAAATATCTATTTTAATAATTGTTCTAAAAAACGTGGGAATCTCGCAATGTGCTGTAAATGTAACGATGAATATTAATTTAAAATTCTACATAATAATAAATGAAAAATGAATTAAATTATTAAAATTACACAGAAAACTCCATATTGTCATTTCACTGGGCAGGCGCAACTCCACGACCAGTGTTCAGTAGTTTTTATCCATTAGACAAGTAATATTCATTGCAATCTAAGAGAAGGTTGCATTCAATCTATCACTAAAGAACAATTTCATATAAAATATATCTGGTGTAACGGGAAACTATTAAAATAATAAACTGCTACCAGATAAGAAATCTTCAATATATTAATCAGAATGGCAATTAGATTAAATAACAATCTCTTCTCAATCACTTGATGATGATCCATCATATCTTCTCATTGACTATGACGACATATGTACAACCTGTTCCTGTCCGTGGTGAGGGGACCTCCCAGAGATGGTTTAGTAACACTTTACCATTCCTGGGATCTGAACGCCCATCTACGTGTTTGCCGCGCGTGATGGCCCATATGCCGGAAAGAGGGATCCTGGTAGTTGAGGGGCAACATATTGTTCCCGACACACTGCTTTGGCCCCTGCTTCGGATAAACGGGAGGCTCGAATCAGACTCCATTTTAGTCAATCGGCTGGCCAACGACCAGCCGATTGACTTACATGGTATTATTCTTGACCTCGGCCTGAAGTCAACTGATCGATATAGACCGGACGGACACGTCCCGGCTTGACAGTTTTGTCACAGACAAGATGTACTCTTCTTGACTGCATTGTGATGGTAATTCTCCTGGAAAACCCTGGTGTGGGTCATACCGACGTCGGTACGACTTGCAAGCAGTGGCAGTCAGGATTTCAATTGGTGTAAGTGTAACAATTTGTTCTATATACTTGCCACCAGATGTCAGAGTCAACGAGGATGAATTGGGTACTTTGGTTGAACAGCAGCCGACTCCATTCCTTTTACTCGGTGATTTCAATGGCCACGCTCCATGGGTGAGTTCCGACATCAATCGTCGAAGCAGAGCCATTGAGAGACTTATAGGCAATCATCAACTGTATCTATTTAATACTGGAGAAGTGACGTACTTTCATGCCTCAACAAGAACATTCAGCGCCATTGATTTATCATTAGCAACCTCAAACCTGTTTTTAGCGTTTACATGGGAGGTTGGATCAAATCCGCTTTCCAGTGACCACTTCCCAATACAGTAGAACCTCCATTATCCGGATTTTCGATTATCCCGATTGTTCAAAATAAACAAAAATTTTACGAATTTGCTGATTTGCACTTGGCGAATTACGACACTGTTTATGTACGTGATGGAATGCATAACTTTTTTGTTTCAACAACGTCTCACCCAGCACAGTGGTCGTAAACTCTTAAATATATTTTACGTCGTAATAAAAATATAACTTGACATACGTATTTATAAATAATTTATATTCAAATTACATCATTTCTATGACCAAGGGCGGCGT